GCACCACATTACATCTACTCTAAAATTGACCACATAATTGGAAGTAAAGCACTCCTCAGCAAATGCAAAACAACGGAAATCGTAACAAACAGTCTCTCAGACCATAGTGCAATCAAGTTAGAACTCAGAATTCAGAAACTAACCCAGAATCGCACAGCTTCATGGAAACTGAACAACTGGCTCTTGAATGTTGACTGGATAAACAATGAAATGAAGGCAGAAATAAAGAAGTTCTTTGAAACAAATGAGAATGAAGACACAACATACCAGAATCTCTGGGACAAATTTAAAGCAGTCTTCAGAGGAAAATATATAGCAACAAGTGCCCATATGAGGAGAATGGAGAGATCCAAAATTGACACCCTATCGTCAAAATTGAAAGAGCTAGAGGAACAAGATCAAAAAAACTCAAAACCTAGCAGAAGACAAGAAATAACAAAGATCAGAGCAGAACTGAAGGAGGTAGAGACACGAAAAACTCTTCAAAAAATTAATAAATCCCAGAGCTGGCTTTTTGAAAAGATCAACAAAATAGACCACTAGCCAGACTGATAAAAAAGAAAGGGGAGAGCAACTAAACAGATACAATAAAAAACAATAAAGGGGAAATCACCACAGATTCCACAGATATTCAAACCATCATCAGAGAATATTACAAACAACTCTATGCACATAAACTAGTAAACCTGGAAGAAATGGATAAATTCCTGGACTCCTGTGTCCTCCCAAGCCTAAACCAGGAGGAAGCTGAAACTATGAATAGACCAATAACAAGGTCAGAAGTCGAGGCAGCAATTAAGAGCCTACCACACAAAAAAAGTCCAGGTCCAGATGGGTTCACAGCCGAATTCTACCAGACACACAAAGTGAAGCTGGTTCCATTCTTTCTGAAACTATTTCAAATAATCCAAAATGAGGGAATCCTTCCCAAATCATTTTATGAGACCAACATCATCCTGTTACCAAAACTCAGCAGAGACCCAACAAGAAAAGAAAACTTCAGGCCAATATCCATGATGAACACAGATGCAAAAATCTTCAATAAAATACTGGCAAGCCAATTGCAACAGCACATCAGAAAACTTATGCATCATGATCAAGTAGGATTCATCACAGGAATGCAAAGCTGGTTCAACATAGGCAAGTCTACAAACATAATTCACCACATAAACAGAACCAAAAACAAAAACCACATGATTATTTCAATTGACGCAGAGAAGGCATTCGATAAAATACAACAGCCCTTTATGCTAAAAACCCTCAACAAACTCGGTATTGGTGGAACGTATCTCAAAGTAATAAAAGCTATTTATGACAAACCAACAGCCAATATCATACTGAATGGGCAAAAACTGGAAGCATTCCCTTTGAAATCTGGCACTAGACAAGGATGCCCTCTTTCACCACTCCTATTCAATTTAGTACTGGAAGTTCTAGCCAGAGCAATCAGGCAAGAAAAAGAAATATAGGGTATTCAAATAGGAAAGGTGGAAGCCAAATTGTCTCTATTTGCAGATGACATGATAGTATACCTAGAAGACCCCATCGCCTCAGCCCAAAAACTCCTGAAACTGATAAGCAACTTCAGCAAAATCTCAGGATATAAAATCAATGTGCAAAAATCATAAGCATTCGTCTACACCAATAACAGACTTAAAGAAACCCAAATCAAGAACGAACTGCCATTCACAATTGCTACAAAAAGAATAAAATACCTAGGAATACAACTCACAAGAAATGTAGGGGACCTCTTCAAGGAAAACTACAAACCGCTGCTCAAGGAAATAAGAGAGGACACAAACAGATGGAGAAACATTCCATGTTCATGGTTCGGAAAAATTAATATTGTGAAAATGGCTATACTGTCCAAAGTAATTTACAGAATCAATGCTATCCCCATCAAGTTACCATTGACTTTCTTCACAGAACTGGAAAAAACCACAATGAACTTCATATGGAACCAAAAGAGAGCCCGCATAGCCAAGTCAATTCTAAGCAAAAAGAACACAGCGGGGGGCATCACATTACTGGATTTCAAACTATACTACAAGGCTACAGTAATCAAAACAGCATGGTACTGGTACCAAAACAGAGGTATAGACCAATGGAACAGGACAGAGGCATCGGAGGCAACACAACATGTCTACAACCATACAATCTTTGATAAACCTCACAAAAACAAGCAATGGGGAAAGATTCCCTGTTTAATAAATGGTGTTGGGAAAACTCGCTAGCCATGTGCAGAAAGCAGAAACTGGACCCCTTCCTGACACCTTACACTAAAATTAACTCCAGATGGATTAAAGACTTAAACATAAGACCTGGCACCATAAAAATCCTAGAGGAAAATCTAGGCAATACCATTCAGGACATAGGAGTAGGCAAGGACTTCATGACCAAAACACCAAAAGCATTGGCCACAAAAGCCAAAATAGACAAATAGGTCCTAATCAAACTCCACAGCTTCTGCACGGCAAAAGAAACAGTCACTAGAGTGAACAGGCAACCAATGGAATGGGAAAAACTTTTTACAGTCTACCCATCTGACAAAGGGCTGATATCCAGAATTTACAAAGAACTCAAACAGATTTACAGGAAAAAAACAAACAAGCCCATTCAAAAATGGGCAAAGGATATGAACAGACACTTTACGAAAGAAGACATATATGAGGCCAACAATCATATGAAAAAATGCTCATCATCACTGGTCATTAGAGAGACGCAAATCAAAACCGCATTGAGATACCATCTCACGCCAGTTAGAATGGCGATCATTAAAAAATCTGGAGACAACAGATGCTGGAGAAGATGTGGAGAAATAGGAACACTTTTACACTGTTGGTGGGAGTATAAACTAGTTCAACCATTGTGGAAGACAGTGAGGCAATTCCTCAAGACCTTAGAAATAGAAATTCCAATTGACCCAGCAATCCCATTATTGGGTATATATCCAAAGGACTATAAATCGTACTACTATAAGGACACATGCATACGAATGTTCATTGCAGCACTGTTTACATTAGCAAAGACCTGTAACCAACCCAAATGCCCATCGATGATAGACTGGATTGGGAAAATGTGGCACATATACACCATGGAATATTATGCAGCCATCAAAAATGATGAGTTCGTGTCATTTGTAGGGACATGGATGAATCTGGAGAACATCATTATCAGCAAACTGACACAAGAACAGAAAATGAAATACTGCATATTCTCACTCATAGGTGGGTGATGAAAAATGAGAACACATGGACACAGGGAAGGGAGTACCAAACACTGGGGTCTATTGGGGGGTAGAGGGAAAGGACAGTGCGGGGGGGGGGAGCTGGGGAGGGATAGCCTGGGGAGAAATGCCAATGTGGGTGAAGGGGAGGAAGGCAGCAAAACACACTGCCATGTGTGTACCTATGCAAATGTCTTGCATGTTCTGCACATGTACTCCAAAACCTAAAATGCAATAAAAAGTAAAAAGTTGTTCTTTACATCATTTACACACACAAAGATATGACTATTTGAAACTATTTTTGCTATATTATTTTAATAAAGTGTATTTTATATGAAAAGTTTAATAGTGAGATTTTTATAATATACAATAACGCATGAGTAAGCTGTCTCTGTAAATCAAAGTGCTGTTATTCATAAAATGAGGAAACTCAGATTATGCTGGTGAAAACTTATATTTTCCACACATTACATATTAATTTTAGAATTGTGTTTTCTATTTCTGTGATGATTGTCATTGGGGTATTTTGAAAGCGACTGCATTGAATCTGTACATAACTTTGGGTGGTGTTGACATTTCAACACCAATTATGTTGTTTGCAAATAGGGACAATTTAACTTCTACCTTTCTAATTTGCATGCCTTTTATTTTTCTTTTGCCTAAGTGCTCATGCTAGGACTTCAGTATTAGTAAAGAGAAGGGGATGAATCTGGAGAACATCATTCTCAGCAAACTGACACAAGAACAGAAAATGAAACACCGCATATTCTCACTCATAGGCGGGTGATGAAAAATGAGAACACATGGACACAGAGAGGGGAGTACTAAACACTGGGGTCTATTGGGGGGAAAGGGGGAGGGCCAGTGGGAGGGGGAGGTGGGGAGGGATAGCCTGGGGAGAAATGCCAAATGTGGGTGAAGGGGAGAAAGCAAACAAAACACACTGCCATGTGTGTACCCATGCAACTGTATTGCATGCTCTGCACATGTACCCCAAAACCTAAAATGCAATAAAAAATAAAAATAAAATAAAATAAAAAAAGAGAAGCGGTGAAAGTGGGCATCCTCGTCTTGTTCCAGATCTCAGAGAAAAGCTTCTAATTTTCCTTGTTGAATATGTTAGCTGTGAATATAACATTTATTGTGTTGAGGTAAACTTCTTCTGTACCTAATTTATTAAGTTTTTATTATAAAAGGAGATTAAATATTGTCAAATGATTTTTCCACATAGAGAAATGATTTGAAGATTTTTGTTCTTCATTCTGTTAATGGGATATATTACATTTAATTGATTTGCATATGTTGGTTTGCATTTATTCTTGCATCTCTGTATTGAATCTTACTTGATTGTGGTAAATACTCTTTTAATGTATTGTTGAATTCAGTTTGTTAATCTTTTTGAAAACTCCTGCATCCATTTTCATCAGGGATATTGGCCTGTAGTTTTCTTTGTGTGTGCGTGTTCTCATCTGGTGTTGGTATCCTTGTAATGCTGGCCTCTTATGATGAATTTTGAAGTATTTTCTCCTCTTCAATTTTTTAAAATAATTTAAGAAGAATTGATATTAGTTCTTTTTAAAAAATTTGGGAGAATTTAGCAGTAAAGTCATCAGATTCTGTGTTTTTCTTTAGTGAGAAATTTCTACCACTACTTTTATCTCATTACTCATTATTAAGAGTTTCTATTTCTTCGTTATTCAATTCTGTAGGCTTTATGTGTCCAAAAATTTTTCTATTTCTTCCAGGTTAACTAATTTGTTGGTGTGTGGTTTATCAGGAAAAGCTTCCAAATAATTCTAGAATGTCAAAACACTAAGATTCCAGTCAGTACAAGAAGCTGGAGCCAAGAAGTGGATATCTGTATAATCAATTGAAACACTGAGGAAAGCCAAATCTAAACTTATTCTTACAGTAACAATTCAAATTTTCTATGCAGCATAATAATTATTTCCCATTATCTATTTCTGTTTTCAAGATCAGGTCTCATTCATTTTATTTCTTACAACCTCCTCAGCAGGTTCTGGATTCCCTGCTTGATCTCCTTGGTTCTCACACCATAAACAATGGGGTTCAGAGCTGGGGGAATGAGGTGGTGCAGGATGTTGAGCAGGATGGGGACATCAGGAGGAATTCTCTTCCTGGCCAGGTTAGTGATGACCAGAACCAGCAGGACTGTGGTGAAGAAAAGGATAAGAATGAAGTGGGAACCACAAGTACCTAGAGTTTTGGCCATAGCTCCCTTAGCCTTAATCCTTAGCACAGTTTTCAAGATAAAAAAATAAGAGAGAACAATGAGGATGAGGTCAGAGCCCAGAAGAGTCCAACCTATAACAAACTGGTAGCACTGATTCAAGGTGGTGTCATCACAAGAGAGTTTGGAAACAGACACATTAGTACAGATGCAGTTCTTGATAATGTGTCCTGCACAGTATCGGAGTTGAGAAGAAAGTATGGGGATAGGCATAGTAAGAAGGCCATTCCTGGCCACAACAAAGATGGCAGCCCTAGCCACAAATTGATCAGTGATGATAGATGAGTACTGTAGGGGCTTACAGATGGCCACATAGCGGTCATAGGCCATGACCATGAACGTGCAGGACTCCATGGTCAGAAAACTGTTCATGATGAACATCTGGAGGAAGCAGGCAGGGAAGCTGATCGACCTGAAGTTGAACCAGAAGATGGCCAGGACCTTAGGGATAACAGTGAGACAGAGCACAATGTCCAGCAGAGAGAGGAGGCTGAGCAGGTAGTACAAGGGCTGCTGCAGAGAGGCCTCCAAATAGATGGTGATCAGGAGAGTGGCGTTGGCCACCATGGCCAGGAGGAAGAGGAGGCTGAGGGGCAGGGACAGCCAGTGCTGCCAGCTCTGGAAATTGGGGAAACAAATGAGGAAGAACTCAGAGACTGGGGAAGTGGAGTGGTTGCTGGGTAAAGTCATGAAATAAATCCTCAGCTGAGAAAATTTCACCTGAAATTGTGTTTGATAAGACATAGGAATTAGAAATAGAAAACAAAGATATTAAAACATTTGCTAACACTTTCTAATTTATAAGATGTATGAGATACAGATGACCAATCCCAAATGAAGGCAATGTTTAGTAAATATTAATGTAAATAGTAGAATGCTTAGTAAATTATTTCTGAAGTTAATTTAGAAAAGCAAATAAAACAGACTAAAGGTTTCGAAGAAAAATGATAGAAATTACCTCATTGAAACAAACAGTAAACTACAAAAAATTCCAAATGATAGTGACAAAACAAATTGAATAATTATAGATCCCACAGGCTAGAAATACCCATTTATAATCTAGAATTAATAAATATGGCATAAAATAATTTAATTATAGGGTCCTTTCAGTAAGTAATGCATAATTTATTAGATGGGGGAAAATAAGTATTCCTCTCTTTTTATTATACATCAAAGGACATTTCAGATGGAAAATATGTATGATATATTCCCAATCCTATTATAAACTAGAAGAAAATAAAAGTAGATATTGACTAATGTATAGAGGAACTCCTAATCTCCCTATCACTCCGACATGTTGTCCTGTGGCACAACCCATCCTGGACATACTTAATCCAAGCCTGCACCAGTGCAACTCAGTGTTCCTGTAGAAAGTTGTGCTCGAAGCTTATGCTGTTTTCATGAAAATTCAAAACCACTCATCTGAAATGAGAATTTAGTACACATATTCATGACAATAACCTTCTCTGGTTAATTCATTCCTTTATCCACTTCAAGCAATTTTTTATATTTTCTATTCTTTTCAAATACGAAATCTCCCCTTCTCTCAGATAACCTCTCTAACTGCTTCATAAAGACAGCAGAAACATCAGATACAAGTCCTCTACTTCCCATGATAGACTCATAAACTCATCAACGTCTACATCCTTGCTTTCCTCGTTGCACCAGCAGAATCAAGGATCTATCCTTCCTCTGAATGGCAATCCTTGACCTCACATTTTGAATCAACTAACCTTAGGAACCCTGGCTTATGAATTATCCAGCCAAATTCCTATGCATTCATCCTCTTCTAAATATTTCCCATGGGTATTCAAAATGTTCAAATCTCTCATATCTTAATTACTTTCTTTATCTATCCCACATCCTCATTTGGATAAAGATCATGATTTCATTTTTTGGAGAAATATACTAATCTCTTTCTTCTTCCTATTTCACACCCAAACTTTGAAAGGCCCAATGAAGGCAACGGACATCTAAAAACGGGCGAATGACTGTTGATTCAGTAGTCCAATTGAGAAGTGATCAGTGTATGAACAAATAGCTCTGGGATGGCTGTGAGGATGAGGAAAAGGGGCATATTTGAGAGGTATAAATACAATGATAGTGATATAAATACAGCGATTACACTAGTTGCATAAAAGAAGAGAAGATAGAATTCTAAGACTGCACTGTCTGTTCTGTCTCGAATTACTAAGTAAGTTTCACAAAACAAGAAATAGGCTTTGAAAAGATTTGATATATGTTGTGGAGGCAGAGATTATGGATCCAACTTTGACGTGTTGAGTTTATTGGCTCTGTAAGCTATCAAAATATATATGAAATGAAATGTTAGAGAAAGTAGTTTAAATTCATTTGAAAGTTAAGGAACTGGAAATCATCAACACACAACATATAGTTCAAACCACAGGACTTTAAATAGATATAATTACGGAGAATATATAGATTAAAGACAAAAAAACATAAAGTAGAACCCTAAGAAATGCTTACCCTTAATCTTAGGACCAGAAGAGGTAAAGATGCTGCAAGAAGACCAGAAAGGAATGAACAGAGACATAATTGAAAATGAAATGGAGTGGACAGACATGCTCACATGAAGAATTTCAGCTATATGAGAAAGAGATTACCCATTGCCTTCAGCAATTAGGTAATCATTGGTGATCCTAGCAAACAGTTTCGTGTGAAGAGAGAAATAGAATGCGGGAGGACAGGGAGCCAGCAGGACTGGAGTGAATGGACACAGGGAGGACTGATCACCTCATCAGAGATCTTCAACAAACAGCTTCACATGGAGGGAAAACTAAATGCACAGGTAGAACAGCATGTATCAATGCATAGATTTTTTTTTTTTTACAAAAAGCAATGTGAATACATTTAAACTGAGGGGCAAAAGTCTAGGAAGAAAAATATGGATGATTAAAAAGAGGAAAAAAAGATAAAGCAACAGCCCTGGAGAGATAACTACTATTTTCATTTAAATACTGTACAAAACACACCACTGCCTAACTTTCTCTACTCTCCTTCCCCAATCCACTGTAAAATCTCTGAAGTACATAGGACGCATTTTCTATCTTTTATCTGATACTGTTTTTACGATATCCAGAACTTAATAAATTCTTAATAAATGCTTGTGGGGTAAATGTTTGATTTTTATTTTGACTAAAATAAGAAAAAAAGGAAAATATTAACCAAAGAAATCAAGAGAACTGATGGGAAAATCTAGGCAAGCCACAGGAAGAAGCTCAAGATAATAGAGCTGAGTGAGCTGTGGGCCAGAGGTAGGGACAGTGACAACACTAAGCTTGTGTGGAAGCGTGGGTAATCTTAAACAAGGCATTCAATGTTAGTGCTCTCTGGCCCCAAAAGCCTGGCGCTCGATGGGAGGGATACCCCGATTCACCCCACTGACCTACTAAGTCATTTGCCTTCATACATACAGCACACCAACTACCTGGTAGTTCCCTCAAATGTAAAAGAATGCCTTAGAGATCTTGCAGTCCACCACGGCAGAATATATCCCGTCACCCTGATACATTCTTATTTCTCACCCCCTGCTCATTCTCTTTTCTGCAGTCCACTGTCTCTGAGAGATCACTTGCTTAACTTATGCTTTTTCTCACCTCTTATGTGTAGTCCCTATCTACGACCATGCTTCACAATTCCTAGATTCCAATTCATCCTCTTCAAGTCCTCATTCCTTTCTCACATTGCAGATAATTGTTCTGATCAAATTCATCTTCTGCTACCTGGCTTTTGCTAAGAAGACTATACTTAGTATAAAGAATACGAGAGGACAGATGAAAAGGAATAGTAGTAGAGAAAAAGTGGTTAGATACCTGAACATACCATCAGGTGGAGTTACAGACATAAATATGAGTCAAACTTTTGATATATTCTGTTAATAACTATTACAAAGGAACACAGCACTAACAGAAGTAACAGTGATCAGAGAGAGATGGTTAACTTTTATTCTGCTTTGCTTTTGTTCAAATATGCTTTGAATATTGTGTCCAATTTAATTCATCTTGATTTAGGGACCACTTCTGAAACTGTACCACACAGAAAAAAAGTACCCAGGATAAAGAAGATACTAAAAACTCATTATAAGAAGCATTTAAGAAAGTGTAGATATTTTAACTTAGTGAAGCCTTCCAAAATATATGACTGACCTTCAAGGGGAAGAAGAAAAAACTAGGGCTATTAGAAAAAAAATCACAGGGAAGTCTGTTTCTGCTGCTATAAATCATGTCTAATAATCAGAGGAAGCTTTCCTTCCCATTAACACTGGAATGTGTCTGGAGAAGGCAGTGAGCACATTTCCTCACCAGCTCTTGCCCCGAGCCTCAAGGACCTGGGTGCCCTGTGTCATATTAAACTCAAAATGCTGTCCCAGAACCCTTCTTTTCCTGTTTTAAATCCCTAGATTGCTATCTCTGGGCACACATGCACAAAGTTCTCAGCCACAGAACACATGGGATCCCTTGTATGCAATAATATGAGATTGCTGAGACTATAGAAGAGCCTTCCAGCAGGAAACTAGGATCCTAAGTCCTCATGCATCCAGTATCAGAACTCATAGACTTTTCCTTCTTTTTTCATGGGGGCCAATATAAGCATGAGGAGAAAGTCTCCTGTTGAGTCCTCTGGTGACCCAGGGTCTCCTGGCCCAACACAGCATTGTTCCCCTCCCTTATCCATGAAACTTACAGAGGATACAACAGATTAAGTCCTGCTTGAGGAATCAGCTGCCTTCATCCAGTTACCAGAGCTGAGAATGCTTCTGAATCTAGCAGGTTTTATAATCTACTGTCAGTTCCTCACACTGTCCCATCCCCTTCTCCAAGCCAGCTGGGAGCAGTAGTTTGGGATACTGGGACATGGCAGCTAAGTTAAAAGTTCCCATGAGAACTAAGCTACAGTGCTGTGACCCAATCTTGGCTCTCTGCAACCTCTGCCTTCCAGGTTCAAACAATTCTCCTGCCTCAACTTCCCTAGTAGCTGGGAATACAGGCGTCTACCACCACACCCAGCTAATTTTGGTATTTCTAGTAGAGACGGGGTTTTACAGTGTTGGCCAGGCTGGTCTCAAACTCCTGACCTCAAGTGATCCGCCTGCCTCAGCCTCCCAAAGTGCTGGGGTTATAGGCATGAGCCACCGCACCTAGCAGAGAACAGGATTTAACTATGGGAGAGAATTCAATTCTGTGTCTATCTGCTTGACCACACAGACCACCCCCTTAAACATTTGCTTATTCTACATTCAACACTGTCATTACACTGTCACTGCCACCATACCACCACTCTGCCACTGCCAGCACATGTGCTGCCTTGACACTGCCTGAACACACATCCAAGTGAGGACTTCCCTGCCACTTCCCTGATGAAGCACTTTTGCCAGCACCCTCCATTGGACTGTTATTGCCAGGGGACAGAGAACGCCTTGACTCCTCCAGTGTAGCAGGTGCTTAACTTAGAGGGTCAAGAGAACAAAGTCATAGGCCTGGTCCCAGCCCCTCAGGATTGAGCACACAACCCAGGAGTGCTGAGCTGAGTCTTGGCCCCCTGAAAATATCCAGAAATGAAGCCAGTTGACTGAATCCAAATTATAGCACAGTGAAACCCTCAGGGACACCAAAGCATAAAAAAGCGAAAAGCCTCATCCTAAGGAGAAATTCAAAGATTAAAGGAACATCAGCCAATACAGATGAGAAAAAAACAGCAAAAGAACTTATGGTAGCAGTGGCAGTGCAATGAGAGTGGTAGTGTAACAGCATGGTGGGGTCCACGCATACGTGTGCATTGGCAGTGGCAGGGTGGTGACATTGAGGTTTGTGTACATGTGTATATTGGTGATGGTGGGGTGTCAATGTCTACATGACTCTAGCAAAGCAGTGGGGGCAGGCTGCAGGTGGGTGCATGCCAGTGGTGGGGGGGCTTCTGCCAAAGCTGACAATTAGGTGGAGTCTGTTGGTGAAGGAGCTATGGCAGTTGTTACTGGGAAGCTCCCTGATTTGGCAACTGAGGCTGTGACACAAGCATGTGCAGCCATGCTGGGACCCTGAGAGAGACTGGCAGACAGGGAAGCACTCAGATCAGACTTGCCTGGTCCCACAGGTAAGATATCCCTGTTCCATACAATTTCAACAGTCAACAAGGTTAAAGACACCTAGAGGGGCACGGCAAGCCGTGGGGTTGGGTGTGTCTGACTGTGCTCCACTGCAGCCAGTCCCATGCCAAACCTTCTGGGCTCCAAATGGGTTGGAGTCCTGTTCCTTCCACATATCCAAACAGTTGTCCCTGATAGCTCAAATGTTCATGGAGGTTGTGGGGTCCCCTGCAGCTAGGATTCCAGAGGTCCATGAAGAATGGCCCACATCATGTCTATATAACTCATCCCTTCCCCAGGAGCCACTCAAGGCTAGAAATGAGTCCTGGTGCTTAGAAACCCCATGCAGGGTTTTCAGCTTCCTCCTCCTTCAGCCCAGGGCCTGTGTCCTCCCTCAGTCTGCTCTCAATTCTTTCCTTCCAAAGATCTGCTAAGAGTATGTCAGTCTTCTTGATGGTTCTGTCTCTTGGTGGGAGAAACTCTTCATGGCTGTGTCTAGTCAGCCATATTGGCTCTTCTCTATTCTGCCCTCGTCCTTATAAATACCTTACTCTTGTTTATCTCTGACTTAATTTATTGTTCCTCTTGTAAATTATTAAGTTGTTAACTTAGATCATTGATTTTATATCTTTTCTCTTTTCTAATATAGGCATTTAAGGTATAAGTTTTCCTCTGTTTTCTCTCTGGCTACATCTCACAACTTTTGCTATAGATACTTTTCAATCAGTTTGAGATATTTTCTAACTTCCTCTGTGATTTCTTACTTGATCCATGGGTTATTTATATGTATTTAGTCTAGTTTCCAATTACTTTGCTCTTTCTATGCTATCTTATTTTCCAATTTAATTCTGTATTGGTAAGAGAATATGACCCTGCACACACACACACAAAAAAAAAAAAAAAAAAAAAAATCCCTGGCCCCTGCTCCCATGGCTTTCCAAGCCCCCATGTGACATTATCAATAAGTCCTAAGTTCCCTCACCCAAAGGATGAGAAGGCTCCCTCCTACTGCCTATTAGAGAAGAACTTCAGGGCTGGGCGCAGTGGCTCAAGCCTGTAATCCCAGCACTTTGGGAGGCCGAGGCGGGTGGATCACGAGGTCAACAGATCGAGACCATCCTGGTCAACATGGTGAAACCCTGTCTCTACTAAAAATACAAAAAAAATATTAGCTGGGCATGGTGGCACGCGCCTGTAATCCCAGCTACTCGGGAGGCTGAGGCAGGAGAATTGCCCGAACCCGGGAGGCGGAGGTTGCGGTGAGCCGAGATCGTGCCATTGCACTCCAGCCTGGGTAACAAGAGCGAAACTCCGTCTCAAAAAACAAAAAGAACTTCATTTCCACACTTTGTACTTCCAGAGAGGAAGGCTATTCTTCCTCTCACCACAAGGGGGCCACATGGGCGTGAATACTTCTCTCTGGTTTCTTCTCTCCTTTGCTTGCTTTTCCATATGGGAAGAAGGGTCACTAATACGATTGGGCAGAGACTGATGGGAGCAATGAATGCAATGGATGGGGTTATTGTGTTTCAAAAGTACAAAACATGTTCTAATCTGTTTCATTATCTGCCTCATGGGTATGTAAGGATGGTAGTAAACTCTCTCTTTTGTATTAAACACGATAGCCTAACCTGCATAAAAGCTTGTGACCTGGTTTTTAGAGAGAAACATGGAAAACAACCATTCACTGTTTTGTATTTTATATTCCACTAAGGTTTCATTTATGAGATTTTGCAATGGCCATCAGATGGCTGGATAACTGTGCTTGGAATCTACTTTTCAAATCAAATTGCCTCATATGGTTACTTTTGTTTTTTTAATGAATATTTACAAAACAAACATATGCGCAGTACTTGGTCTTACTCCTTCTTTATCCTTAGCACAAATGTAAACAAGTTAAAAACACAAAGAGATATCTCTTAAAATAAATTTACTAGACACATATATATATTTCTTCCTTGAAAACAGAAATTACATTTCATTATTACTAGAAACTATTACAGTCACTTCTCCACTTACATTTGTTTTATATAAGTAATACCCAAATTTCAATAAATGATGTTTTCTTACACCAGCCTTCTCAGCTGCTATAAAGAGACCCTATTAGTACACAGAAGCCAATGATATGGGGCTCCCAGCACTAACTTAGAGGTTTTGAAGACACTCTAAACCTAAAACCAACAAAGAGTGGGACTTTACAGTTACAGACAATGTTGCACAGCCTATCAATGGGCAAAGGCAAGAAAGATGACAAATCCAGAACTATCATCTATTTCTCCTATCCCCAAGTCCTACTGACACATGGAGCAGAGAAATGTTGAAATCAAGAGCAAAAGAAAAAATGGCAAAAATAGTCACAAATCCAGGTATCCAGGTACATCCCAAAAAGCCAAGTATCTGTGGGTGTTTTTTAGTATGGCACTAGTAAGACTAAAGGACTACTTGCTGCAAAATGGTCTATATTCATGTATCTACACCAGTCATAGGCTCCTAGACGTGTGTCCCCAGAATTTGCCTCTGGAGAAAACTATGAGAATATGTTCAGATTAATTCTTTTGGGTAAACACCCTGAGCACTCGCTGACAGATCTGCTGAGTCTTCACCCCATAGACAAGAGGGTTGAGTGCAGGTGGCACAAGAAGATACAATGTGGCCAAAAGAACATGAACGTGATGGGGTATGTGATGGCCAAAGTGGTGAGTGAGGAAGGAGAAAATTCCAGGGACATAGAAGATGAGAATCACACAAACATGAGATCCACATGTGCCAAAGGCCTTAAGTCGGGCCTCACTCCCTGGTACCTTCAGCACTGCCTGGAGGATGTGGGCATAGGAAACACCAATGGCCAGGACATCCAGCCCAACCACAAGCAAGGCCACAGTCAGTCCATAAGCTCGGTTCACCGTGGTTTCTGAGCAGGCAAGTTTCACAACAGCCATATGTTCACAATAGGCATGGCCTATGACAGTGGCCTGGCAGAAGATAAGTTTTTGCAACAGAATGGGGAAGGGGATGAGGAGTAGTAATCCCCGCACCAGCACCGCCATTCCAATGCGTCCTATGACCCCTGGATGCAGGATCATGGAATGGTGCAAGGGGTGACAGATGGCTACATAGTGATCCAGAGCCATGGCCACAAGTACCCCCGACTCCATGGAGGAGAATGCATGGATGAAGAACATCTGGATCAGGCAGACAGTGTACCCAATCTCATGGGCGTGAACCAGGAGCACTGCAAGGGCTTTGGGTGCAGTGGAGGAGGCCAGAACCAGGTCGATGGCAGCTAGCATGGACAGGAAGAGGTACATAGGTTGGTGCAAGGAGGGGTCCATCCAGATGATGAAGAGAATGGTAGCATTGCCCACTAGAGCGAGGAGGTAAAGGATGCCCATGGGCAGTGCGATCCAGTGCTGGCTTTCCTCTAAACCCGGAATCCCTACCAGGAAAAAAGAAGGCTGGGGTGGCCTCCAACTGGAATTGCTAAGGGTCATTATCAATGGCTTGGAGAAGAAAGAGGAAAAAGAAACCAAAGTCATGATTTCTGCATTCCTGGGATGTCATCACATTGCCCAAATGTGGCAACCATCTTCATGAGAAGAATAAAGTGGCTTCAACTGCAACCAAAGGGAATAAATTTAGATGCAGGGAAGAAAATCTCCTTTGCTGGAGATAATTGTTGTACAGGTGAGACAGACACTCGTCTGAATTAATACAGGCTGTTTTGTTTAGAGATAAGAGTAAACATAAGCTACTTTTTGGAGAGATGCTTAAACTCTACTATTCAGTTGTTTATATTTTGGAACTGTCTTTTTCAAAGAGTTATTTTTATCACCCTCTTGGCATTACTGAGCACTGAAAAATCAATCTATTGTTTTTGAAATTAGTGTTTCTCAGTTTCCATGACATGTAACTCTAGAGCTATTCCTCCTGTTGCCTCAGTCCCACCATTTTCTCTATCTCATTATGTCATTGATTCCAGGGATCCATGCTCTCCTTTCATCCCTCTCTGTCCATTATCTCTGAATTGATTTAATCTATTCTCATGGTTTTAACTGTTTATATGTTTTTATTTCTTCCAAATGTATTCTTCTTTACTCAAATATCTTTCTGAAATATAAATTAATTTTTCCATTTGCTTTGTGTATATCTATACCACATCCTCAACATATTCAACATTGGATTAACTCACCCACTTTTTTCAAGTTTGGTCTACTTACTTTTTGGCATTAATTTTGAATCACATCCCTATCTACCTACATAACCCAATCTAAGAACTTGGCAGCTATCTTTATTCATAATCTCTCATCCCTTTTATCCATTCACTAATTTGTGTTGACTTCATTTTTAACCCCGCTTTATGTCCACTTCTACTTCTCAACCCCCAATGTCACTACCTTAGTTCATACCCAGCGTCACTAAACTGGACTATTTCACAGCATCTCTCTGCTTTTGCCCTTGTTTATTTGCCTTCCAATTCACTCTCAACCCTGAATCACAGGGTTCCTCTAAAATGCAGATGTATATATATAACTCCTAAGGTTAAAATTCTTCAGGGAATTTATGGCATGGAATAAAATCATATTTTGAGTATGGCATTGTTGTATCAGACCGAGCACAGAAAGTCAACACCAAGACAAAAGTATGCCAAACTGCAGGTTTATTGCCAGCGACCACGGAGGACTCACGTCTCTCCAACCTGTGTCAGAGAAAGAAGGGTGACAAGACCTTTTTATGCCCGCAAAACCACCTTGGGAGTGGGGGTGAGGAGTGGAGATGGGAATGAAAGCTGTCAATCACCTCATAGGCTGAGATGAGGTTGAGGGGTGCTCTGGACATTCCAAGGGCCAGGAGACTTTTGTCATTCCGATTGCCACTTAAGAGGTTTACAGAAGTTAAGATAAACATTAGTTTATACATTATTTGGACAGGTATGGGGTCCACAGATTTTTCAGTTGCTTGGCGCCAGGATGGAATTATCTGGGGGTGCTTACTCTGGTCAGTACCGGTAAACAAAGGCTAGCAATTCTGATAGTTACAGATAAGAGAAGGCATGCAGCTTTACCTGTAAACTCAGCAGTTTACAGAAGCCAAGGTTAGCAGTCATTGTGAGGAGAATGGAAACAGTTTTGTCCTTTATAAAATGGCATTGTATAGGTTCTAACTCTAGGCTAGCTATATCACAGCATAAAAGGTTATCAAAAGTTATCTTTTGTTTATTACTTTTGTCTTACAGTTAATATATTTCTACATATATGTTTACTAACCATCCCAGCATTCTTGAAGTTAGGCGTATACACCAAGCTTACCTATGACTTTTGTGTAGTCTGTCTTCAATTTTCTTTATCTGAATTGGTTCTTCAAGATTCAGTCCACTGTCGCCACTCGAAAGGACTCATTACCTGTGTTAGATGAATACTGATTATGTTCAGAGCACTTTACAATCTTCCTTTGTTCATCTGTAACTTTCTGACTTATCTCTAGAAATTCTATCAGTGTCTTAATGGTCTGTTTTATTTAAAAAACATATCTTATTATACTTTATAATTATAAGATAGCATGGTCAACATTTCACAATGTACTGGGATAAATACAAGTACTAGAGAAAGACAAAGTTGGTTTAAATTTTGTCCATTTCATATTCTAGGAATAAAGCCTTGGCAGGATACTAAAACTCTCTCTGTCCTGATTTTCTGATTTTATAAATAACGTCAATCTTACAGGTTTATTGTAAATATTAATTAAGTAATGTACATTGTCATGTTATGTATATTAGTCTACAAATTAGTTATAATTATTTTAATATTGAAAATAGAAAAGGACTGAGTATTAGATCGCAGGCTTCTTTCTTTTCTTCTTTGTCTCCATAACTCTGCTTCTCTGTTTCAAACTTTTGATATGTTTACCTCTCATCGTGATGTTGTAATGATTCAGTGTCTTTGACATCCTCGTGTTAACATGAAGTATCAAGATGCTGTGTTTAACCTTATCCATGGGATTCACCCTTGAAATACTAAAACAGAAAACTTGAAACCGGATATGTGTATGTCTTTATGTTTGTCTTACAGGACGGATCAGTCTGAAATAACTGTATGTTTCTCTTTTGGGTTGGGGGTGCACATGTACATATAAGGATTAAAAAGTCAAGAATGACTTCGTTCTTGTGGGCAATGCATCCATAGATCACTCAGAGTGCTTTTTGTACAAATTAGTAATGACTATTACATTGACCCAAAACTCTGAATATGATAGCTATAACATCTGAAATGCCACATGGGGACATATTTCCCAGGCTTCTTTGTTTTTGTTTTTGCTTTTTTTTCCAGAATCAACTTGAAATAACAATGACATTTTTATTGAGACCTCCAGGGGAAATCTCATAATCTTACAAAAATTCACCCTCAGTGCTTAACATTCCACACAGAAAGTTCATTCTCTTTTTTTAACCTACCCACTTCTGTTGCAAGCTTCAGCCCATTTCTCATTTTTTAGCTAAGAAGTCAGAGAACAGCTGTGCATTTGTGGAAGGCACTCAAGACTTGAATAGAAGCAGTGAGGGAAGAGCGGTGAGATTAAAACCAAACCACAGAGGGTGAAGCAGAGAAGCAGAGACACATGTGCCTGAGTATTACCTGCTTCTACTTTTGTTGGATGACTTGTAAGCCTAGAGTAAAAGTCTACAACCGCTTAGTAAATGGTAACTTTTTATTTTTACTTATTTTAGTTTAATTTTTAACTCAGAGTAGGGGAGGGTGGGAAGTGGGTAAGGGATAAAAAATCACCTATTGAGTATAATGTACACTATTCAGGTGATGGGTACACGAAAAGCCCAGACTTCATCACTGTGCAATTCATCCATGTAACCAAAACTACTACTCTTAAAGCCTTTGAACTTTTTAAATAAATTCTAATTAATTGTTATTAAAGTAAACAGGAGGTCCCTCTATGATTCTTAGAGGAAAAGCAGAAAGACTTTATTTTCAGGAAACCAAAGACAAAGCTGTATTTAGTTCTTCAGTTGCAAAGCAGAGGACAATTACTAAAGAGTTGATGTTGTTCAGCTAGGTACGTATTCATCTAATTCAATCCAAGCAACCTATCTTTTGTGAAGTTGCGCTCAAATTCTGTAAGGTACTACTACACATCTCCTTTTCTTTCCTATTGTAATGCCTTTACCACTTTGTCCCTGCATTAATGACCTCACACTCTAAACCAGCCAGCATGTCAGTCTTTGAAGAGCAGCAACTCTGCATTACTTATTTCAGCAGCCCCAGGGTGAGCTCCAGAAGCACCTGGAATCTAATCAGTAATCAGTAACATTGGATGAAACACTCATAGGATTCAATTAAAAAACAAATAAGTGTATTAGAGTCTTAAAAGACTGAGAATCACAGGAAGGTGATAAGGCAGAGGCTAAATTTGAGGATAGGAATCATGTAGCAAACAGAGGCATGTCATTTGAGGGGTTACTGATTGAGCCCCAATATTCCTCATTTTAAGTGATGCTCTGGGTGCTTCATGACAGAAAGAGCCCTGCTGAATCTCTCCCATGAAAGAAAATGGTGAAATCCTAGATGTGTTCAGAAATAAGAGGGTTCCTTTGGTCCCCCATAATCACTCTGCACTGCCTGTAGCAGGCAGAGAGGCTTCATCTATTGGGTATGATCTGGCCCTCTCTCTTCAATCTCCTTCTTAACAGTGGCCTGGGCTCCATGATCATGGGGAAAAAAAAGAAGAGGCAAGAACTTACAGAAACAGTAGGGGAGGGAGGGCACAGAAACAATGGGTCCATGATAATGACCTAATAAAGAGGAAGGTACAGAACTCGAGCACTAAGAGGCAGAGCTCACAACATGGATGATAAAATAAGCCTGGCACAGGGCACTGTTCTGGTCTCTGGGCTGTCTTTGAGGGTGTGCCCTTTAAAGTCTTGGGTCAGCCTGAAGCGAGACTCAGAAACACAGAAAGAACTAGGAAAGGGAGAAAATTCCCAGACTCAGGAAGGTCTGGGAATTTTCGTGAAGAATTTTCTGGAAAACTCAAGAAGGTTCCATTATAACCCTCCCTGCTCAGCCCCAGGAACTCCCTAAGTGTCCAGTTCAATCTCCACAACAACCCTCTGCCCTAGCTTATGGGTAACAATGATGAAGAGGATTTTCTGTTCAGAAGGGCTGCACAAATGTCAAAGAGGACATCAAACACATCCCTCGAGGTCTGTGCAGCTAAAGTTTTCCAAAGATATGAAACATGATTACTAGCTCAGGCAAAACTTGGGTAAATGTAGAAAATCAGCTGTATCTACACACACAATATGTATGGTGAGGATGCCAGCTAGGAACATGCCAAATGGCCCTGTGAATGCCTCAGGCTGACCATGAAGGCTTAAAGAGATTGGGAGGTATCTGTATGTTCACAGGTTAACTCTCAGCCCTACCCTAATCACTTTTCATCTATATTCTTTTCTCCTCCTTTCCCCCACTCTCATAGAGTCCAGGCTACTGTTAAGAAGGAGATTAAGGAGAGAGAGACAGGTCACATTTCATAAAAGAGCCTCCCTGCCCACTAGTATCTAAATCGTAAAAGCCAGGAATAGACAGTTTGTTTGAG